TACTCGCGGGATGTATCGTTAGCCTGTATCATTTTTCTTCGTCTTCTGTTGCTTCCGTCCATCCCGAAGCCAGCCCTTTTCGAGCTGTGTCCTTTCCGTAAATGAAGGGGGCGATTCGACGCACACGATTTTCACGCGGTTGTATGCGAAAAAGATCCGCACGAAATTATCTGTCAAGGAAGTCTGGCTCTAGGGATGGTCAAAGGTAAAAGGGATGTTGTACGAAGGTGCTGTCCAAGCTAGGACGCGACTAAATTGCTAGAACGAAGATTGAACGAGGCGCAATCACGATGGATCGCTGCATCGAACATGCAGGATTCGCGGTGTTCGTCGTCACTTTATAAGATGCATCGATGCAACGATACTTTAAAATTTAGTTTAGTTTCGAAACATTAATGTTTCTTCTTTCTTTCAGAATTATATCTGGAATTTCTTTTATAATATTATGCAGTCATCAATAACTTATCATTTTTAAATTATGATAACGTCAAGAGATAATTATGTAAAAATTGACGTTTATAAAATTTTCTCGATAATTGCACGTACATCATTAGTAACTGTACAAGTCTTCTTTGTACAGCGAAGATCTCCATTCTTCGTTTCTTGCTTTAATCGACGGATCTTTTTATGCGACATTCTCGTCACGTTCACATCTACGCGAATCCGTCCTGAAAGATGCGTATTTCGATGGCATACAATAATGCACGAGGAAGACGAGCGTTATGAATGTACTAGGGACAGAGTTTCAGGTTTCCTCGCGCGATTTATATGATCTTGTTGGTAAATTCGCTTGACAAACAACCTTCTATACGCGAATATTTCGAACAAGGATGCTTCCTTATAGGAGCTGTCTAGTTGCATATTATTATCTACATGTAATAGAGCTCACAGTTATCTATGAGTACGTCTCGCCCGAAGGCATACGAGTTTCTTCTATGAAATGCTTCTTCGGGATTGTTATCGAAGGATACTTTGAACAATTCCCGGCCATTTTTCGTCGCCGATCGTTATCAATAATTTATCGGCCTTCAATTATATAACCGTAACTCGAGAATATTGTATTTACGAGTTCTTCCGTCGTGAAATATCGCGCAAAAAATGAGGATGACGATTTGATTTAACGATCACTTTACGTTTATAAAAATATAAGATTTGTAGCTATCATCAAATGCTTTTAACGATAGTTTGCGCACGAGTTTATGTGAAGTATAAATATTGATCACATGCGCGCGCACATACACACATACAAATTCCTATATCTATGTAATCGTCGCACATTGTATTATTTATCATTATGTACATATAATCTGAATAAGTTTCTTTTTGATTACGCGAAAAGCTTGCGATTTATATTGTAGGCGAATAATACGATAATTTCTAATACGTCTTATTGTTATCAACCGACACGATTAAATTACCTTAATGATCGCATTGATAACTGTTGAATGGTTTTCTGTATGTTAGCTTCATCATTCTTATTGCGATTTGCAATGTATTTTATATGCCTGCGAAAAAGAGCCGTCTGGCCTGCGTTTTTGCATATATCCTTTGACGTAGAAAAAGAGCGGAGAGCAGAAGGAAGCGAGTAAAGAGTTTTGTGCCCGCTTTATGATCTCGTCGCTACGTCGCTAAGTCCTCTCGGCAAACGACCCTTTGTGCGTAAATACCTTGAATAAGAGCGAGGATGTTCTTATCTCCCATTAGTTCGTCGCGTAATTTCTCATTACAATGCGAAGATTACGGTTTCCTCAGAATTACTGAATTTTAGTCAACGAGCCAGAAAATCTGTTCCTTCCTGCTTCAGTTAACGTTACTTCCGCTCGAAATACTGCACAGAATTATTAGTATGATCTCTTTGAAGATTCATTACATATACATATAAATGTGCAAGTAATACGGATGTGGTTTTCCTAATTAATGCGAAAATGTTTCGAAAACCTACGTAAAATTTTCTTTACGTAATAATAATTACGTTAATAATAATCTTCTTTTTCAATATTGTATCAATTCGTATTTCTTATTAGTCGTAACTCATTTTCTAAAATGAGTTTTTTTTCTCGTTAAAATGGAGGAAGTATATATAAAAAGGAAGATTTTTTTTTAAAATGATTTAGATAAAAATTCGCATTATTGTTATATACAATATAATGGTTATATATGTAATATTGTGCAATACGATTAACAAAGAAATTTTTTTCATGTGAATAGAACGGAAAAAGAAAGCTATATCATCAGCGAGCGGTTNNNCGGTTCATCGTGTGAATCTTTATAATAGGGTTTTCGACGATGCGAAAGCTACTAAAAGTTATCCTTAACATGGACGATGTACCGAACTTATCAAAAGTTTTGTATCGCCTATAACCGTTCGATGACTTGCTCACCTGCTTTTCTATGCGTTTCTATGCGAAAATCCTTCTTTTGGCAGGGGAGATTGAAGGGTGACTTTAAAGGATGAGAAATGATCGCGATCTTTCAGCTTTGTGTCGCGTTTCTCCTGCACGTTCGCTATGTATCATAATACGTGACATTTTCAACCCCCGTAGAATTACCATACGTCTCTTTATAAATCAGATACGAGCAGTGCTACGAAAATATTCTTATCATCATATTTATATCGTTTTATTAAAATATAACTTGTGCGTCTTTATAATATAAAAATACTTTTGTGCATTAGAAATTGATCAACAAATTTGTTCGTTTTTTCCCGCATGTTTCTTACACTAGAAAAGAAAATATTAATGATCTTTTTAACCGACATGATTTAATTAATTAATTATGAATATATATTTTATATGTGAAATAAATGGTTTTTATCAAAATAATTGCAATCCTTTTCAGATATTATTAGGAAGAAATGTTTTTGATCAAAGTATAAAATATTATCAAAATAAGTAGATGCGTTATTCGAGTGGCATTAATCGATAATTATTTCAAATTCGCTTAGTCATGATCGTTTGTTCCACTCGTTTACTCTGAACGGAAGCTTTCTCTACGTTTTCATGCAAAGCGTCTTACGATAGAACAGGGTGACGCTTGAAAAGATAAGAAAGTGTGACTGTGCAGTTTTGCAGTATAATTGCACGCTTGACCTAATTGTGTGAGTACGTTTTGTTTCTTTGACCTCTCAATCGATATAGATATATAAAATGCATGCAATTAGAGCATGCGTATCCAAGTGCTAGATAAAAATATCATGACTTGATTCCACATTCTTGGAACTATTCATGCTGTGATTTATTATGCAAGATGTTCCAGAAATGTCGGTTTTAATTATAATTTCGGATCAATAACGCGTGACAACTCGAGATATAATTTACACGACGATATATATATGCTCCATTGTACGTGAGAGATCTTTATGCGATATTCTGTAATAATGTCGCTATTACGCAAATAGACAACTGCAATATAATTTTGAAATTATATTAGCTAACTGAACCACGTATGCAAATTTTAGATATAATATTTAACGATAAGAATTTTACGCGACGCGGTATTTACAGTATGTATAATATCGCTGACGCGTCCTTTCTTAAACGCTCTCCTGATTATAAATCCCCTTTATTCGACATCGGCGTACTGTAAACGCGGATAAACTCCTCGTAAGATGCGATTTTTATCGAATCCGTGTTAAATCAGACGGAACGCGGGAACGGTGGGACGAGGCGAAAGTCGCTTTCAGAATCGTGCGCATTCGATATGGAGACATACTCCCCGCGATTTATATCTCCGTTGATAAAGCGCGTTTCCTCTGTCTAACGTTCAGTCGCGTATCTTCCCCAGGAAACCGATCGTGAAGAAAAGGGAAGTTGATTTCTATCGAGTGAATACTAAATCGAATTGCAGTCGATTTTTCTGTACGCGCGATGTCAAAACCGGAGGGTTGCCACGTAAGGAGACAGGTGGTATAGATTATTTGCATGTCTCCCATCCCGACCATCGTCCGTTCTGGAATAGCTGCCTGGCAGATATACGATAAGCCATTGTCAATTACTGCACGTATCAGTTTAAATCAACTTCGAGATTTATTTTTTCGATGATTGACAGGCGGCAATCGGTGCTCCGAGGGAGCAAAGACGGAGGAGGAAGGGAGGGTCTGGTGGTTACGGTGGTCTGGTTGTGCCGAATTGGAATGAAATGGCAGAATCGCAAAAAGAAATACATTCTCCATCTCGTCCTCTCCAGTTACGGTGGAGGCTTGTATCACGAAACGATTTCGCGTCACGAGCAGAAATTTTCGTCCCTAGTTCCGCCGCGATGCGATGTCCCGCGTCTCTTTTTTTCCCATGCCAGTCATTGTTTTTGTCCGTTATGGCGCGCGGATCAGCGTAGAAATATATATCCTCTCGTTCGAGGGTTTTAATGTATTCCAGAATTTCGGCCAGGCACGTCCTACTGGATGCTGTCACGGGATAGATGGACGAGAGATGATGGATTCAGTGAAATTAAATGACGTATCGCGTCATCTCTTTTTAGTTACGCGTCGTTCTACCTCCCACCTCCGTAAAACATCGAACGAATAAATTTTCTGTTGCCCTAGTTGCCTCGATCACGATTATGGAGATTTTGAAATATTGAATTTAAACTGTACGTTTGTATCGAACGCTTGCGCGCGCGCGCGTGAGTCGACTGCACAATAAAGTTTCATAAATTTCTTAAGAGAAAACATTACGTTTCTCTCTCCGACTTCGCGTTCCTTCGGGTAAAAAGATGACGCACAATTTTCTACAACTGATATACGTTTAGTTGTGCTTCCTACATTTTAAAACTTTCATTAGATGTTATTATTTCTTTCCTAAGATACATTTTAAAGGCCATAAGCTATATGAAAAATTTTTCCATCTTATATATATATAAAAAAAAATCATATTTCAGTGAAAAAATTATTTTTTTTTTTTGCGCGATTTATATTATTAATATTGATTAAGAGTTTATAAAAATATAAATCAGCTATTTTTACGCAATACAAATACGTCTTGCGATACAGTTAATTGTCTTACCAGAATCGAAGGTTACTTCGCTGACCATGATCCATCGATCCGAGAAATGGAGTCTCAGCTTAACGAATTTTCCAACCCGATGATGAAGTTTGATTGTGATATTTCGGGAAGTCTCAAAGATCTTGTCCTCCATGTAAGTATAGGTAATAGGTTCTCCCGTGTAATATTTTCCGCCAATGCTAAAGAGTATGTCGACTTGAGAAAACACCTGTAATCCAAAAATCAAGAAAATACTTTAAATATCTTGAACATAAATTAGCACATAGTACTACGTAAATATATATGGTTGACTAAGCAAAAAAATATAGGTTGTCTTATTCGAAGAAAATATTTGTCAATAAATAACTCTTGAGTCGCGAGAACGGTAATGGTACGGATTATGCAGTGAATAAGCGTTCGAGTAAAATTTATCGTACGTATTACGCGCATGAGTGTCTCGTCGGCACGAAAGAGGAAACACAGTACATATTTCGCAACAGCAAAATTCCTATTCCGCCTCTCCGAGCTACTTTTTCAGCTTCTGAACAACCGCATCGCGCGCCCGTAAATTTTTGACCGCGGATGTCATTTTTCAGGGCTGACTACTTTCTCGTGGTCGTAAATTCATGGACGACGATCTGACAGGAAAGGAATTCCGTCGTCACGGAATGCAGGCCCTTCCTTGCTACTCCCCGGCGGAATCGTGGCCGATGGAGATCGCGTCGAAAAATCGCGCGACCGAGAAATCGATTTCGATATTGATCGTCGAATTCGTGCGATTAAGCCGCGAACTAATCGCGTCGCAACGGCGGCAAGGAAAAAATTATTCTTGCTACGGTTAAGAGATTAGTTTCAACTGATATGAAATAAAACTGATTACGCCTTAGTGAATATTAGGTAAAATGGGTACCAGCGTGCTTTGACATTGATGGATAGATTCGACTCGAAAACCTCACCGTTCAAAGAAGATTTACCGACAAAGTAGAGTGTGGATCGTTTTCACGCGAGAAGCGAAAAGCTGTGATACTTTTGAAAATGTTATAAAAGTTTAATGTGTCCCTAAAGTTCGATGGAGAGTATATGATCTAACCATAAATCAACTATTATCCGAGGTATTATCCGAAGTCGCGCGGACCTTTTTGTTAGTAAAAGTGTATCGAGATAACATACATACAATATACACTCGCTCGTACATCGAGCCTGAAAATTTATGTTCCTTTTTTTCTTTTTTTATAAAATGGATAGAAAAATATTATGTTTTCTTCGCAATCCGCAAAAGGTGAAAAAAGAAATGGAGCCGCATACATACGATCGTTGAAGGTACCGTGAACGATCGAATTTCATCGCGGAAATACCGGTGTGGGAGAAAGCGCAATGCGATTGCCTACATAATTTCGTGTATCCAAACGATGCCGCGTGCGCAAAGTGCCTGTTGAATATTCGTAAGTCACGGGCTATTTGAAATTCCGAATATCTAACGACAATGATGACTATGATGACGTTGCGGCGGATAATCCGAAATTCCGTAAGTTTCGATTAATGTTGAATAATTTCTGCGAGGCTTAAGTGAACGCCGGACTCCGTGACTCCGCGCAAGCATGTTCTTGGATGCCTTTCATCTTGGCTTACGCCGTCCATGATGGCTAGCGGACCCGAGCAATTTGTCGAGGAATTCTGTGTGTGCCGTATTTCGTTGGAATTGGAGCGTGAAATATCATATCGCGTAAAGTTGATTGTTAAGAAATATAATATGTGACGGAGTTGCATATAAGAGCTTGTAAAGTGACGGTTCTCTAAAAGTTACCGAGTTACCGAGTTACCGAGTTCGATAAATAAGTTTCTTCTATACTAGATTTATGTATCACGCGTAAAAATCTGTAGAAAATTCGATATTCATGGCGGAAAACTTATTATTCGTCAGAAAAAAAATAAGACTGTTCCATAAAAAAGCTTTGCTCTGAACCAAAACGGCAATCGTATCGTATTTAATTGAAAGACAGTGAAACTTTTGTCCAACAACCAAGATCAATAATGTTTTTATCTCAACGCAGACACATGTCAGATAATAAAGTGTCGCCAAATTCTACCATGATGTGTCTGTGTCTTCTCGTTCTCATCTCGTATTTTACTAGGTTCTATAGTACAGTCGTAGGAGAACCTCCGGAATACATTTCCAATGATGCGGTAGACAGAGAGTCGGCCTATCAGATTCGGTTATCCTAATCCGCGTCATGTAAATCCAATTTCCAGAGGTTTATCTCGCGGCAATGGCAGCCGGGAACGATATATACCGTGAGGCGGGAAGACGCGGGATTCGACGGTAACAGCAGTATCGACATGTCGATGCACCTTGCGCGAGACAGGCGCGTGTAGGTGGTGTATGAGGATAGAGTCGCCATAAAACTCGTTTGTGTACGAGCTTTCCGTACGAACTACCGAAAGTCGTTGGGAAAGAGATGAGATATACATTCCACATGTACGCGCGTGTAAATTATTATTATATATATATATATATAATATTTATAATATAATATTTAGAATAAAACACAGAGTGTGTATGTCAATATGAAACACTAAACTTAATTATAAAATGTATTTCAAAAGAAATATGCGTGAGTTGCTAGTTGTTTTAAAAAACAAAAGAGTATTTACAGTTTCGTTGAATATGTATACAAATGCTTTATATCTGTATATTTACATAACCGATACCTTTTTTCTGACTATTTATGTATGTAGGAATATCAAGGAATTGAGGCATTTTACTGAAAAACACATAAATATATCTGAGCTTAGGAGAATCTCGCGACTAAATATAATTTATTGGCGGAGTGTTATTAGATTGCAGATGCATCAGCTCTAAAAAAAAAAAAACGAGGAAACTATATGTATATTAGAAAGAATTCTCTAGAATAATTATGACAGCGCGTATACATTCCATTTCGTTCCATTAGTCGACCATGAAGTTTTATGCATTACGCTGAATAGGTAATGCGCCTTCGTTCGGCCAAACACGTACCGTAGGGAACGTCCGTCAGGAAAATTGAAACGGATTTTGAGAGAGGAAAGAGCATTCGTAAATAAAATCGGCACGCCGAACGCGCGGAAGACCGTTATACCGACCCAGGCGCGCAATCACGCGAATTTATGCACTTTGACGAGACGGCATCTCTTACACCGAATGAGAGGAGGTATTTGCCGGAATATCAGACAACGAGAGGATTCGTCTGCGACGAACCTCCCGCTCCTCTCTCCGTTCTCTCTACCGGCGAAACGCCGGTAAATTCATTCTTCGCAAATAAGCAGATTCATCTCTCTCCTTTACTCTTATTACATTACGACGAGTAGGACGCGCACTCCGGAAAATTACCTTACTCCAAAATGATCCGCGCGGGCGATTCTGCGCGAATTTGCAGCCTCGGCGGAGGCTGTTTTGATGGCCGGCTTGTACCGCGGTCCATTATCGCTCGCGATCAGAAATATTATTTGGATATCAAGAATGCGCCAACACAGAGAGGGCAGGAGAGGGAGAAAGAAAGCATAAAGTTCGACGGTGACCATATAACAGAAGCGCTCGGTGATTTATATGTTTATAAGATCGTGCGTGCTCATCGTCGCTGGATTTTAACGCTTGTGGCCTGTATATAAAACCAGTCGACGTGAAAGGGAATTCGGAGGACGTTGATCGGGTGTTAGGTGCCGCTACGTCGTGGGCACCGGCCACGAAGAGGTTGCAACATGGTCGTTTGGAGGACCGCTGACCGCTGCATCAAAGACCGGGCGCATTTATGGCGGGCCGCCGTCGTAGTTTGTGTGCCAATGTAATGGTGAGCGTAGTATGTGTATGTGTGTGTGTGTGTGTGTGTGTGTGTGTATAAGGGACTTTGTAATTATTGGGTTTAAGCGAAGGTTCCGTCGATTTTTCAGCGCGCATCCCGATTATCCGAATTGGTTATCGAAAACCCATTAGTACGTACGCTCGCGATGAGGTGCTCGTTTTTATCATTCTTTTATTTTCTTTCGCGCGGAGGATGCGGAGAGCATCGCTCTCATAAATTCCGTAATAATTCTTCGATGTATCAATACGCGGGAGCTTTTAGTATTTCTGCAAACGAGCTCTCTCGATCTCTCAGCTGACTGAGATATTGATTTATGAGCGCGCATCATCTTATATCACGCATTTCCATACATTTCGCGAGGAATCTATTGGAGTGTTTCGACTTTCAATATCCCCATGTAATATATTTGTATTCTTACATTTTATACGGTTTTATCACGCGAATAATTGTTGGTCTCTTACGCGATACACGCCGTATGAGTTTATATAATATTTCGCGATATGTAAACGCCATTCGTTATAGTATCGTTATAGTATCGTTATAGTATCAGTCTACCACATAGCTCGGATTATAAAGCGTATAATCCATTTATAGTCCATCTCGTATGCATACACGTTTTTACGTTACTCGCCCCGCGCGATAAGGAATATCGCTCGCGGTATTCGCAGTGAATTTCATCTCGCGTGGCTACATTCTAATTTACGTTTAACAGGCTATTAAAGTTTATATACATTCGGCGGGAATCTGGGATGAAGTTGAATTGTAATACGAACACTACGGGGGGGAGGAGCATGTTTGGGGAGGGTGATCACTGAACCCAGCATCAAAGAGTATACGTACCCTATCCTATGCGTTTATACCGCGATCGCCCGCGTTCGTGGCTGTATTTGCGCTTTGTGCGAGATATTCACTGTTCGCATTGCTAACGCACGCACGCGCACGCATGCACGCACGCATGCACGCACGCACGCACGCATGAGTACGCGCTCGTGGATTTTTGACCGGCGCCAAAAATTTTCGATTTTCGCGGCAATCGTTCTGCGAATTCCGCTGCTACAACCGGATATCGACGGGACTCCCGAAAAACATCGAGCGGTTTCACCGCGTTTCCAGTAACACAAAACTATCTGGAGCACGTTCCTATTTGAAGAATCCGTTCACGACGCACTCGAAACACTACACAAAGTCCGTTTAGATTGCTGGGTCAGTGCTTTCGTTAACAGTTTCCATACGTACAACCGATGCTACCTAATATTTCCTACATAATATTCACTTGCGTTTGCGGTTTTACTTGAAAAATATTGATCGTTATCTTTTGTGTCTAATTAATTTAATGATTAAAAAATTATTTGCTCATAACATGTGGTGATTTTTCGAATTAAAAGAAACTACACCGAAATAGCAAAAAGTTTATTTCTTCTCTACGAAAATTGATAATATTTTTACAACTATTAATAATTGTATTTTTTAAATAAAGTGTATTAATAATAAATATTTTTGGCGGTTATAAAAATTAATAATAGTTAGATGTCTACGTAAAATATGACATTACGACATAATCTCTTCTGTCCCCTGCGATTTCAGCGCGAAAGAATTATTCGGGGCAATTTTACTCGGATCAAAATTCGGGTGCTTCCGTTTCTGGCAACGTTCAATAATCTCCTATACATATTTCACCGCACGCGCCGTCGAACCTTTAAACGAACTGTAGCATATGACAGAATACGCACGCGTGTTTAAAGCGGATTTGTCTCGGATACGATGAAACATGCAATATATACGGCATATGGACTGTGTCGTTGGAGATCTCACGTTTCCATATTTTCAGTATGACGTTACTGGATAGCCAATGTAATACATAATTACGAACGATATGAATGTTTGTATGCTACATACGTGCTGCCATTTTCTTCCCCTTTTCTTCTCGTTTATTTCCCGTAATATTTCGCCTAATAATGGACATTACTTCTATTCTCGGGTATTCTCGCGATTATTGTCCCCTATCTTTTATTATAATCATGGTATCAAGACGCAAATTGTAATGAGAAAAGTGTATTATAGCTTTGATATAATAAAAGTACACGACTCTGTATGTAAATTGCTGACTATCGTAATACTATCGAGTCATCAAATCTACGTAGGACGACTCGGCGAGGTTGCGATTTGTGGCCAAACGGAAATTACACAATGGATCGAATCATAACTCGGCGTAAGCACGAAGAATCTCTCTTTATAAGCCGCTCCCGCGAACTCATTTCCGCGACTACAACGCGCTGAATCACGGATATGGCGAATGATGCGAAAAGTTTTCTATCTGCCTCTCAAGAAGCATCCGGGAATTGTTTTTCTTCCATCAAGTATCTCTGCTCAAATTTCCCGACTTGCCCTTAAGTTTCGTGAATAAAAGTTGAAATTACGAAACAGGGGTATGGAAACGTCTGGGTTATGAAGGGTGTAAGATTCGCTGGAGAAATTCCGCATCCAGCGCGAAAATCACGACGTTGATATTTACAATCGGTAAATAACTTTTTACGCGTCTTGCGCATTTAATAACACGATTTATTAGTTATATAATTGCTATTATATCAAAATCATCCCCGCAAATATATCAAGGTTTTCCGTGCTTAAATTCCAACTAAACAACGCATGTCGTAATAACATGTGTATATGAATTCCCCATTGGGATTCGCAAGATTCCTCGTGAAATAACGCGGCTAATAGCCGACTCAATGCGCAGAGACCGTGGCAGATATCAAACTGCCGGAATTGTTGTTCCACGGTGTATTGATATTCAATGGGCGTCTGCCTGATAAAGCGTCGAGTGGAATATTCAATCAAGCGTGACGGTGAGAAGGGGGAAGAGAAAGCGGGGTGAGGGTGCATCTTGCCGACCAGACGCTGCGCGACTTAGGCGGATGGTGATGGTAAAAGGTGGAGAGGATCACGAAGAACCCGTGGATGGCGAGCGTGTTGATCGACGCTGCTTGCGCATTCCTGACGAGGACTAAGGAATAATGTCGCTAAAGCGAAGGTAAACGATTCCTCGGCGTCAACGAGTTCACGAAGGAATCTCGGCTGGGGAAAGTAATTCGATATAGAAGCGGCGCGTGCTCCGTTCTGATCACCTGGATTCTTTAGGTTCTCCCGGATCGTTATCCGTGCGGCGGAATCACGACGAACGATCCAACCGATTAGACGTGTGTTTAAAATGGAATATATTTTGTTTAAGGGAGGAGAACGAAATCTTCGCGCGCATTTTTTTATGTATCTCGGCTTTCGATGCGAGTATATCGCGTGCATTCGGTAATCTTTTAATAGAAAAGATTTACGCATTACGCATTACATCATATACTTTTACGTAATCGTAATAATAATGTATTATTATTTAAAATGTCACTATGAATGTAACGAGTTATATAATTAGTTGCCAGATTTTTTTGCGATATTAATTATAGCTATCTATATATCTATTTAATTTATTAATTATATCTATTTTTGTTATTTTAATCATATTTTTATATAGAAGAAAATGAAGATAATTATCTTCGTTGTGAGTTAATATATTTAAATACATCTAGCTATACGAACCTGGACACCTCTGGTGAATTCGTTATTGCAATAGATATGGACGGCGGAAAATTCTCTGACTTTGTCGAACTCAAACTTGATCTCGACCGGCTGGTTGCGGCTATCGTTTCTCCAGCCTACCCAGCCCTGGGCGCGATCGTTATCGTAGTACAATTTGAAATTATCAGGTCCTGTTCTGCCATCCGTCAGTTGACCCAGACCACGGCGCAACTCGCCGTCCCAGTGTCCGTCGTAGGTCGCGTCGAAGAATTCCCATCCGTTGCCCCTTTTATCGCCCTGGGGCATCGAGTAGGACACCACGCCGTCTGTGGAAGGAAAAAGTTAAGATACGATGTTGACCCTTTTATCCATGGCGATATACTGTCTTCGATTTGTTTGAGAGCAAGTTACGCGCGAATCTTAATTTATGACTGATAAACAAAGAGAATATATGTATATATATAGTAAGTATAAATTTTATATCGCCAGACAGTGGATGTATATATAATGTGTGTGTGTGTGTGTGTGTGTGTGTTGAGTAGAATTTTTGAATACATTTTTTAACGTTTGATTAAAATGTGTAAATATAAATTAAAATTGCTGTTTTTTAAACGAATTGGAAATTATAAAATTAATCATTTGCTGAATGTAAAAATATATCTAAATTATACTTTTTGCATCTTGTTAGCACGAAGCATTGCAGATATGTAAGAAATCAAGAATTGAGTTTTACTCACATTTCAAACTCATACTTTAGACTTTAGATTATTTCTAACTCATATCTCATATATTTGTTTAAAGTAAACTAGTAAAACAAACTGCTCATACGAACACATTTGAACGATGGTCTAACATGCGCGTTAATGATTTATCGCATTTCCGGCATTGGAAACATCTATTCGACGCCCGTAGCTAATTCGATTCCCGGGTGAAAACGGAATTATACGAGCAAGATTTTGAAAAGCAAATTTGCTCTGGCCGTAGCCAGTATCAGGGTTAATGGACAGTCCGTCGGGTGTACCGGTCCGGGGCAAGTTTCACGAAAATTGGCGAGTGCAAACAGCTTACCGCTCCAGTAACACCCGTAGAGCTCGACCCGCATGCAAACCGTCCGCCTGTGATAGCTGTAGGGCAGAAAACGGATCTTGCTCGCCCACAGAGGCGGCTGCAGCTCGTGCTTGGACTCCAAATACGTGTTCGTGTTACCCTTTATTACCTGAAAGCACAGAAAGCGCCGGTTCAAGTATAGGACAATTTCAGTTTTCGGTCCGGCATGGCGTTTGAGCTTTACCAGACCGCTCGGTGCGAGTCTCATTAGCCCTCTTTCAGCGACGTTACATTAACTTCGGGGGATATTTGGGCACGTGCGCCATTCCTCGTTTTATCCTTCGTTTTTATAGCTTTTTGTACTGCCGTATCGAACGATAGCGATGCCGACGAGACATACGAATAGCTTGAGAATGTAAAACAGCGAATTTTTACAACGTGCATCAATTTTCGAAATAAGATTTTTAAGATAAAAAATCGAGATAATTTTTAATGTATCGTACGTACATTTTTTTTAGAGCTAATAATTGTAACTTTAATTATATGTTATCTTATCCATACGTAAGAGAGAAAAAAGTTTACATTATTGACAATTATCTCGTTATTTATTGCGACCGAATCATTGCCATCGTGTTGCAGATTTCATACGTTAATGAATTTATGAGAGAGAAAACTTATATAGCGTCCTCGCATGTATCAATCAGTCAGCCTGGCAGGTCGGAAAAAGCATCCGACGCGTTACTTTATATCCCGTTTGGAATGTCGCGATTGTCTGACAGTAGTTGTTGACATTTATATCGTCCGGACAATGCCTGCGCTTCAGCAGCGCGAAATACGTCGGGTTCCCTTCCTCCTCCTCCTCCTCCTCCTCCTCCTCCTCATCCTCCTCCTCCTCCCTTCCCCCACTCTCTGGACATGGATATGTCCCGTCATAGAATGGACATTCCGTTCCACGGGATCAGACGGGGGCTAAGGACTAATTTCACTCTACATTCCACCGCGTTAGACACGTTCCGACAGAGGGGGGGGGGGGGAGAGAAGGAGAAAGAGAGATATACATGTGTGTAGATACACAGAGAAGCCAACACGGACCTGCGAATCGACGAAGGGACGAAGGGTTCGCGGCAGGCGTAGGAGGGGGACGGAAAGCGAGAGAGGGTTGAGTTAAACGTCCGCATTCCCTGATCCCCGTCGAGGCGGCGAACGTGTTGCCGTCGTTGACGACGTCTCTCTCTTCTCGAGCGTGCAGGGGCGACGGTGCAATATTGATTCCACGTTGTGGGTTTATGAATAAAATAAGCGGTTTATCCGACGGCGGTGTGTAGGGTGGTGTGTACCGTGTACAGAGGGTGCGGGACGTGCGGGCGGGTGGCACGGTCCCACGGGATCACGCGAAGTGGCGCGTTGCCCATGGTGAGTAGATAGCCAGGTACGCTTATGTACATAGGTATACGTGACGCGAACACATAGCAGGCTAGATGGTACATATTATACGGGGTGTATCGGAAGTTGTGCGCTTTCTCTCCTATAATTACAGGCTCTCCGATGGACTGGAAGATGATGTTTCTTCGGCGCGAGTCTGACGGCAGGATTAATTAACGAGTTATTTAACATTGAAAATTAAATTATATATAAATATATAATAAAAAATTAGAGTTGCAAATTGAATATATTTTAATAAAAATTTAATTCCGAGCTTGAATAAGATATTTAATATTAAAAATTGAAATATTACAAGACGGTAATTCAGTTATTTTCTCGCAAAAAAGAATAGGAAATAGAAAAAGATATATATAACTTTCGATACATCTCACATTGTATAGACACATATAACCGCGTGTTTTCTCTTAAGGAAAGCGTAAATGGCGTGTATCGTTGTCCGCTAAACCTGTATAAGCATGTGCAGCAGCAGTCTCGCAACACATAGTAGCGCGACAAAGCATTTTGTGGCAGGCACGACGCATTCTGCGCACGTCCCGTGGCCTAACATACGTTTTATGCCCTTAGCCACCTTCCACCACTTTTCGGTGTACCCATGCGCTGACCTCGACTACTGTACTACTGTCGACGTGCATGCTACGCTCTTCACGCAGATATCAATAATCTTCTTCGGACCGTTTTTACATAATACCGTTACATACGTTACTCGTCCGCTAACAGCTGATCTCTTTTCATCTCGTTTGCGAATTTTGAGAATTTTGTAATTTACTTCCTATTTTGGTTTCTTATCTCGCGATCGCTATCTCAAAATTGCGCTGCTACAGCTTCGCAAATTTTTGAGAACACTATTCGAGCATATAGCAAAGTTCAATTACCGCTATCAAGACATAAAAGTGTTTCAAAACTTTCCACTGGCAACCCTTATTTCCACCCGCTAGACCCGCGCACGGCCGTATTCTCTTTCCAGAAACAGACACTTCGAAAGTATTCCCTAAGGCGAGCCCTTACCTCCTTACCAACGGATAGCTTACTGCACCCTGGGTGAAGAACCTTCCTCTCCCTCTATCCGGGGGTCGATTCTTCCTCATTTCATGGCAACCAGGGACCCATTTCAACTGCGCGTTATGTTGCTGCCAGTTCTCACAATGGCGTAGCAACAAGATCTTGCATTTCCGATAGTTAACTGCCTATATATTATGTTTACAGAGTAAAATAAATGTCCGTATATACGTATTTGTCTTTACAATAGTTTGGTAACATATCAAAGTTAGCAACGACTGTATGGATAAGAGCGAGTTCAAAATATGAAAGATCGAAGATATTTTTGAGTAAGAGATATACAAGTAAGCATATCTTTAGTGGTAGAATATAAATTAAGAATATTATTTATGCAGAGATACACTGATAAATATTTTTTTACACATATATGCATAGGAACTAGATTTATTAATAAGGAAGAAATTTAATGAAATACTTTATATTATCAAAATATTTCACATGTCTCGGTAACGTTCAAATCGGTAAAATTAACTGACTTGCGTCAAACTTGATTACAATATATGTAATATTAAATACATGTATAATATCCATCATTTTCGATTTATGTCGTATTATTAATTTGCATTAGATCGTTGATTCATGAGAGTAATTACCATTTTCATGAGCTATTAATCATCTAATCATCATATGTAAATCGTCGAATTAAATGCATTTCATTCGGACGTCACTACACAAATATATGTATAAATAAATCATTGTGTATCATATGCATACATATATTATCTAAAGCGTTGTACGTGCGCGCGCGAGATAGGCAGCTATTATTGTTTATTATCTCACTTGCTAGAAAAAGGTTTCGAAGATTAGACGTTTTATCATTGTAAGATACGGCAAGATACTACTTTAGTGCCTTTCTAGCATAATCTCCTGCTTCTTCTATTTCTACTTTTGCGTGTCTGCGTGCTTTCTGCTGCGTGCCCATGAGGGTCAAGTGTTAAGCGACGAGCCATTACAGGTAATATTGACCTGTAATAGTCTTGGATAATGTTCGAGACTCTCTAGCCGCACGGAAAAGATATACACTTAACATTACTTTGTGTTATCGTAAAATTATAGACAATATATAATTCGTAATAATTTGTGCAAATTGGTATAATAACGCGTGTTTCCTTATATAAAAAAATATAATTCTATTATTTTACATATAATAAAAAAAGGATAAATATCCAAAAAAATATCGATATTCGATATATGTTGATAAAACACGTTGCGGAATTGTTGGCAAAATATGTAGGAGAATATGCAGTTAGACGGAACGTAAGATGCTTCTATGTCAAAATTAAGGAATGTTGACGGAACAGAAAATGAAAATAGTGAGTCCCATTTTGCAAACGAATGACAACCGGACGACGTGACCGAGCACGAGATGGGACATCTGTCCGCTCTTACACGTCTATCGCGTTGCTCCGGGGTTGCAAAATTATGCAGCTGGCACTTTCTCGAGACAGGAACGGGGGTGCACGATGGTGGAAAAGGGATGTGCACAATGTAAAAGAGTCAAGAAGATGCAGCGGCTCGATGGAACTTTATCGTGACGGCTTCTTCAAATCGTAATAGCTGCATGCGCAGTTTACGGCGGAAGTGTATCTCGTAAATATGCATCTCCGACGACGTCACGATCGAAATGCATCTCAAGGATGCTAGATGCGGTTATAAAGTTTCTAAATTCAGATGCCATTTAGAGGATGAGTCGCTTTTGCGAGGCTTTATCGCGATTGATATTGAAACGTAAGATTAGCCCCATTTTTCGTATTTTTAAATATACTCGTAAATATACTTTATTGTAAATATACTTTAGAGCGATCTAAAAATGACGAGGTATAATTCGGATGATGATGATTTGGAATATTTAAATTCAATTTCATCAACTATTTTCGCAAAAGACCTTCTTCATTTATTCGAAATTTATTAAATCTTTAATCCTTGTGCTCGTTATTAATAACATCTTCCTCTCTCTTTCTCTCCTCTTTCTCTTTCTCATCCTCTTTGTGTCCAATCTGAATAAATTTTAAGTTTTCTTTCATACCTTTTAATTATTTTTTAAATACTTTTCTCACGGCCCGCTCTATATAACTTTTTACATCAACTTCGCAAATGTTCGCTTTTGTTCTGTTATGGTTTTGGAAGACGGAAAGAGGTTGGCGAAAAAATTTGGTGAGCCAAGCGAACCGTGATCTTCTTTCTCGTACGCGATTTTGAAGTGTTCATAACTTATGCCCGTGTTCGTTTTTTGCCTGTCGAAGCGTCGCATAAAACGAATTTATTGCGTTGGCGTATGCATGTCGTGACGGTGGCTGTGCCGACGCGAATATTTTCATGCACTTCTCTTGAATGACGCTATTGGAATTTCGCTCGTCGATGGGCCGATATTTTTAGGTCGTCCTCTATCTATTACCGATTATGGTTCTACTATTCCGCTTCCATCGGCCTTTTATCCACAGAAAATATTCGTTTGATCAAAAACGCGTGTTGCTTGAAGGTAACTCAATTCGGTTTCTTTAAACAGGGACACAAATTTTTCGTCCGGATATTGGAAAGACATTCTCTTGCATTTTCTCTATATTTTTTGTTTATAAATTTTCTATCTCGTATTGTAGAAAATTTACTTTTATAAGAAACAATACAAGAGATCCATAAATTAATTTTGCGAAAATTATATAAAACTATATA